ACAAGTATGAAAAAGAAAATGTTATGACATTAATACTTGAGACATAGAAGATTGATACAAGGGTACATCATTTGTTACATCACAGTTATATTTAATGCTGTCATTTGTAAGCTGACGATTCTAAAATTAGAGAACTTGTTGGCTGTTCTTTATATAACCCTAATTCTAAAACCGGTTATAATATTTATACTTTGAGTGTTATGAATACATAAGCAATGAATTGGCGGTTTCTGTGACTGGCGAACTTCTTAAATGTAGACAGAATAGTTCAGTGTAAATTTTTCTTAGACACTCTTTTGACTTCTTCTGTTTCTTTTTGATGTACTTGGAAATTTTTATGGATCTTGCTTGATTTTTTGACTGATTTAAGCTACTTTTCAGTGCCGTTTTTTTGCATAATACTAAAGTATTATGGATAAAATACACTCTTTAAAGGGAAATTGATATAACGCTCTCAAGTATCGTATTGAAGGGATCAAAATGCGTAATAACAAAGAGTACGAATCTTTGTGATTATTTTCTATATTAAATAAACAAAAAATTTTGAACCGTCAAAGTAAGCAAAAAAATATAAATTTTAGGAGTCTGGAATATTTACATAATATTAAAAACTCAAAAAACTAGCAATAAATCACTGTCAAACGAGAAAAATTATTCACTAGATTAAGAACCTCTCGCCATTTTTTCTATAGGCGTTTGAAGAACTATTTTTTTTTTTTGTATTACTCATAATATAGGCCAGTGCAGAAGCCTTTAAAATTAATGAAAAGTGAAAATAAATTATAGTAGAATGAAACTCATTAGAAAAGGAGGGGATATTATAAAAATAAAAGGAAAAATAATTTACGGGCGATCTGAGGTTGGGAAGGGTATGGGGATGCGTATTTAAGAGTAACAAATGGGTTTTCTCGATTTCCGGCAAAACTAAAAGTCCTACGGAATAATGTTATATGGCAAAGTTGCAGGTAATAAAAAGACCTAAAACTTTTGTACTAACATTTTTTTCACATAACCTTAAATTTTATGTGAAAAATTCGAATAACGAAGTTTTTGGTTTTTTTATTTTTATCTCTTACAAAAAATAATATTTTGTCGCGAAATTTGGTCAAAACTTACCTTTTGATGTCCCAACTTTGCCATATAACATTTTTCCGTAGGACTTTTAGTTTTGCTGGAAATCGAGAAAACCCATTTTTTACCCTTAAATACCCATCCCCATACCCTTCCCGACCTCAGATCGCCCGTAAATTATTTTTCCTTTTATCTTTATAATATTCTCCTCCTTTTCTAATGACTTTCGTTCTACTATAATTTAATTATGCTTTAAAAGCTATCGGCACTGGTCTAATATGCTTTAGAAGATGACCTATATATCATTCTAGTGTATATTTAACACCCTTTATTTTCTAGACAATATTCCAGAAGTGTCTGAAAGCTGCTTAGAGAGAGTACAAAATCCAACATTTCAACCTAAATTTAAATTATATGCATAAAACTTTCAAAAACATACTGCATGTATGATTAATCAGAACCGTATTCCCTGGTAGCTGTTCTAATTAGGACCGCTTTATTGTTATTTGTTATTCTATGCAATGTTTGTATACCCTACATCCTAATATGAAAACTATTTCACACTAAATTCACGTCATAGCAGATTTAACTTTTTATTTTCATACATGAACTATAATTTATATAGGGAATAAATAACAATATTGTTTATCTTAATATATGTTTCAGGTGTTCAGTACGTAGAATTTCGAGAAATTTCTTTGGTAATTTTAACAAAATATAAGCTCTTTATAGAGCGTACCACTCAAAGTTTCCTCGTTAATGTCTTGGTATGTTGAGAGTTTATAGAAGCCCTCGTCTTGAGCTAACAAGATATTCTCATATTGATCGGTCAGAAAAAAGATCCATGAGAGTAACTTCATTAATTATATCCTTATATATCCTACTAGCTTTCCGCCCGCAGCTTCGCCGCGTGGAGTTCGGTTATATCGCGTTTCCAAGAGAACCTTTCAAAAGTCTGGGATAAAAACTATCCTATGTTCTTTCTCAAGGTCAACTCTATCTCTGTACCGAATTTCATTAAAATCAGTTCAGTGGTTTAGGCGTGAAAGCGTAGCAGACAGACAGACAGACAGACAGAGTTACTTTCGCATTTATAATATTAGTAGGGATGTGCTAATTGTCTAAGTATTCGGATACTACCTAATTGTCTAACACCTTTTAAAAATGCTGCACCTACTACGTCATACGTTTATTTAGATAATTATCTATATAATTATAATTATAATTAAAGTAATGGACAATCACCAGAACTGTCAAATCAACTAGTCTTATAATATATAAATAAATTGTTTATCACAATTCTTTTACACACTTAACCAATAACCAATTAACTCAAGTGAAGTCACTTTTTTAATAAGAAAACAAAAAATAGCAAATAATTAATATATATACCCAGGTTTGTTATTGTTTTAAACTTAAATTATATGTATATGGAAACTAGAAGTCCCGGCGAACTTCGTATCGCCCTCTAATCAAGAAATATCTGTTACGTTTTTTTAATAAATAAATTTAGGTTATACCTTAGCCTCAGAAACAAGCGGTGGTTATGCTATTATTAAATAGTCGCTCATATATGACGTTTGTATTTTTAACAAAGCGCCATCTATTGAATACTTAACTCAGTCAACAGATAATTGTAAGAATGACAAATAATTTTCTTTAATAGACAAATAATTTGCAATAAAATAATATTGTGACTATAAATTTATATGTAAGCTATCCTATCTTTCAAGTTGGATCAAAATGCACACGGAATGCAAATCAAATTTAAAATCGGTTTAGTAGTTTAGGAGTCCATCATCGCGGACAAACACGTGACACGAATTTTTATATATATAGAGATATTATTTTTATAAAGAAGCAAACATATGAAACAGATATTTAATAAATGTGTTTTTACACAATTGCAGTTCCACCGATAACTTTAAATGAATAATTTCTTATCAGTTTCAGCGTTGTTACGGGAAATGTTAAAAGTCTATAAATATTCACTTAACATCAAAATAAAGTTGAATTAAACTGTGATATCCAGTACAAAATTAAAACTGGTTTTTAAATAAATAGTTATATATGAATGAATGTTACTTACACTTTGTTTTGTGTTATATTCCTGTCTAAACTTTAATCGCAAAATTAATAAGCTTAATGAGATAGATGTTTTACACACCCAAATAAAAAAATATATAAAAGCAAGCATTCCACTCTTTAATTAAAATTCAGGTACATAAGGATTATATTGCTCGTTTATAGATCCGTCTAAAAACGTTCCTTTCGTCTATTTAAAACTTTCTTTCGTTTATTCAGTTGTTTTATTACTTTGAATATAATCATTTATCATTATCAATACATCATTTTAACTAGGCGAAGTTTATCTTTTCTAAGTAAAAACATATAGCCTGGGTGGCAATTCTTGTCGTATACACACATTTTTATACTATTACAACGAATATTGTCGGATGTACTACGCGTTTTGTATTATTTATTTTAAACACACGACATTTCTGTTACTTTGCAGCAACCGTGATCACGGGCAGACGGGATTAAAAATGCCCGAAATGAAAAACCCAGACGTTCGGAGTATGAAGTTTTAAATAATTAAAAACACCTAGTACATCCGAATGTATCAGTTTTATTTAAATGAATACCTTGGAATGTTTTAGATATAATTATTTTTATACAGTTGTTAAGTACTTTTAAGTTTGAAGACTAAAGATTAAACAACATATTTAATTTACATTTCATACATTAAACAATATAAGTTAAATTACAAGGTACAAGATACCAAATTATAAGTTTAAAAAGTTCAAATCTACATATAATAGGATTATAATCAAACAAAAAGTATTAATTTTCATTTAGTCTATTTTCCTGAAAATTTGTTGCTTAGTGAAATAAGATATAATCTAAACATACATTGTAACATTTGAAACGTGACTAACCACATTTCCACCAACTCTTCTTAACTTTCAAATAACAATTTCGTAAAACATCAAACAATACCAAGTTCAAAACCGAAGTGATACCTAATTAAAAAATAATATCATTTACATTTTGTACTATTATTAAATCAAAATCGTTACTCAAATGAACACATCTGACAACGTAACAAATTACAAAACCATGTTATACTATAAAATACATATAAAACAATCAAGTAAGTTCAAATAAAACTCGAAATTACATCTTGGACCATACTTAAATAGCAACAATTTTCTATATGTAACTAAGTTATATATAAATTCTTTAGTTATACAATTAGTAATAATGATAACCACTGCACGTCTACTAATATTTTACAAACAAAGCCTAGCTTTATAATTTTTGTGTAGTAAAAATCAAATCGATATTGAATTTTGAGTAATTTGGTACGTGATTGACGAATCAATACTGTAAAGAAATAAATTATGAACCATTCATCATTAACACTCAACAGTTAACATAAAATTATTTCATTTAATTGCTTTTATGACTATCAGAGCAATGATTATTTGGGTTCCTTTGTAATCACGGCTTTGAAATTCCTCCAATTAACATAACTATAATTTATATTAAGAATAAACGGGAACTGAAATTAGCATATGTCTCATTTCCGGGAGTCTATTGAATTATATCTGATTCTGAATATCTTAACAAGGATCACATTATGCGTGGTTCAAGTAGACATAATACTCTAAGCCTATACAAGATATGTGATTGACTACTTCAAATGAAATACCATACTCCTTAGTAACACTATTTTCATTAGTCTCTGCAACTACTGCAAGGATTGTTCTTTAAGTTTTACAATTTAGTTGTGTACAATATTTATATAATAATATATATGAACATTCCCTAAAAAAATATTATGACTGCTTTTTACTCTTTGATATTTGCTTACAAGTTATGGACGCCTTTACATAAAAGCACAATTTTATAAAGACACACATTACCACTATTAAAATTAAAGCTATCAATAAATATACATCAAGCATGTTATAGGCAACCCAACTCAACCTACGAGCAGGATTCTTCATATATTCTGCTCCCTTATTTCTAATAACGTACTCCAGCCAATAAATAGCTGTATCCATAGGAGATAAAGGTCTGTCTAGAAATCTTCGAGAAACTTCTTTGGCAGTTTCCTTGTAGGAAGCATTATAGAGCACTTCATTGAGAGCTGCACTCAATGTTTTTTCGTTTATATCATGGTACATTAAGAGTTTACCGAAACCCGCTTCCTCAGCTAACAAAACGTTATTGAATTGATCACCAAATATTGGAACTCCCACAACAGGAACGCCATTGATTATAGCCTCATGCATTCCAATCAAACCACCATGGGAGACAAACACTTTTATATTAGGATGTTCTGAAATTTAAAACTATTATTAATCATTTTGTTCATTTTCTTCTCTTTTTCACATATAACTTTCAATTACTTAAAACTTTACGTACTTAGATAAAACTTTGTAAAATATAACCACGCTCCTTCGAAAGCAACATTTTTATATGTGGCTATGTTTTAAAGTTTAAGATTTGTGTTTATTGTGTTGCATCGGGATGTTAGTTTTACATAGTGTCTCAACAAATTGTTTTTATTTTAATATTATTTAAACAATGAAGAATATTATACCCTTTCAAAATGATAACGTGTGTTAAGATAAATATATATTGTGTGTAAAAAAAGTCTTACGGAGAATTTCCTTTTGAGGAAACCATTTACGTGTAAATAAATTGGATGGTTTGTCATCTAACACGTCATCTTCCCATTTCCACAACACAGTTTGTTTTAGCTGTCGAAATACATTTAAAAATGCATTCTTCTTTTGTATCGGCAGTTCAATACTTCTTACATTTGAACCAAAGTTAACATAAACAACACCTTCCCGCGCTTCGTCCAAGAGCTTTTGAAGATCCTGAAAACATTTGCATAGGTAATAAATAGCATCTAAAAAAGTATATTTCATTTATATAACCATATTTCCAACACACCTCAGGAAGGCTGTCATTACTTTTTATTAAATGAAGTCCACCAATTTCAACTATATTTGGTAAAATTGCTGCAGGCGTGTCATAGCTAAAGTGGCTGTTAATCAACATCAAAGCAGTTTCTTTTTGCATTTCGTACAGTGAAGGTACTTTTCCTGTCAATTCTGGTAAATACTTTCTTACCAATTTCTCTTGCTCCTCCAAAAACCAGTACCTCCAAACAATGTAGTGATAAACATTGAAATACAAATTACGAAACCTTCCCCAAAAGCTTGTTGGATCTCTTACAACTAATAGTTCTCCCATAACTGTAGCCATTTGTAAAGGATTTCTCGTTATATAATTGTGTCTCATACAATTTCCATACGTCGTAACTAGTACCAGAGGTGCATTATATTTATAAGCCAGAGCATTCAACGCTTCATGATATAACTGTTCACTTATAACAAGATCGAAAGCATTATCTTTCTTTAAAAAAGTCATAAATTCCTTGGAACTCAATGTAAGTTCTGTGAAAGCTATTGACCCAGGCCATACAATTTTACTGTACATTTCTTCTGTACTCAAATCCACCATGCTAAAAATAACAGGTCGCTCCATACCTGTAAAAATATGTTAACTCGGGTTTATTCTTACTTTAGTTCTAATATTTGAATTGTGTAATACAACAATGTTTTTAAAACGTTTTATAGTTTTATTGATTTGAATGAAACCATTTTTAATGGTTGGGTGTTTTATTGACTCCTTAAAAGGATATTTTCACCGTAAGGTGAGACGCTTTTTTTCTGTTTTGAAACTCTACAACATAACAGAACTTTAAACATATGTTGTATCATCCTTAATTACGTCACACTGTTGTCTTCAGAAGCCCATCAACTGATATTGATATATATATATATATATATATATATACAAAAAAACGTCTCGAAAAAACTAATGATAGTATTGCAAAACTTAGATGGCATGTACATATGTATATTCTTACCAAGTAGGTCCCATATCTTTGTATTATTAACTACAATCTGATGATAGTTGGGAGGAGGGTTGTTGTCTCTTATTGAAGTTATAACAGTGACGTTGTGTCCTCTCCGAGCTAGTTCTGTTCCGATAGGTTTCAGCATTATGTAATGAGATGTCACAGAATATGGCATCACGTAAAGTATGTTCGCTGACTCCGAGAATTTCGTTAAAAACGTGAGCAATGTTAACACACATATTTGCACCTGAAATCCAATTATATAACAATAAGTGACCAAAAATAATAAATACAGTAATATGGCGGCGACCAAAAATTAAATGTAAAATCATTGGAATTAAAAAAATATCTAATTTTAACCTAACATGTGAATTAATTAAATTAATTTCAGTCCCATGTGAAACATTCACAGTTAGAATTTTTTAAATTTTCAGTTCGCTGTGTTTAAAAAGCAGAGTCTGTCGTGAATATTACTTTTCCTGCTTACTAATCCCAGTTTTAAAATAAATACGATGTTACAGTATATTTTTACTTGAAATACAGTTAAAGCTAAATAAAAGTATGTTATTTAATCAATATAATGGTGAGTAATTATTTTTTTATTATTTTATTTATATTTTATTATTTTAAACATTTATTCATGTCGAAATGATACACTCGTAACATGTCGTATGATAATATTACCTTAATTCATTTAGATTATACCAAATAATAAATACTTTCTTCAAAATTTCTGAATAAACTAAACAAAGCCTCTGTTTTATAAATCTATTCATTTTTACATATTGATGAAACTGCCATCTCAAAGTAAAATGTATGTTATATCATATTTATATATATACAAATATAAATGTCCAAGGGGTAGAGGGCAATCAATGTTCAGCAACAAGCAACTTGTTATAATAAGTGCGATTTTATCTCAAATGTAATATGAAAATAACTGAAACTAATATCACGAATAAGGCTAAAATTACAACGCCAAATATTTTACTTATGCCCATATTAAACTATTAGTAAAATGGGGACTTTAAGTAAAAGAAAACAAAATAAACTTATTAAAGAAAAAGGTCGAAAGTAAAGAATACTTACCATTATATTATTGGTAATGCACACGTACTATCGATATCAGAGCAACGTATACACTGTTGCCAAATTATTTTGTTTTAAAGCGTTCATTGTAGAATACTATACACGGATATATACCCACTAAATTGGTCTTACTTAAATAAATTTTGTATTGATATCTCTTTACAGATGCTAGCGTTTACAAATTTTTTGATCAATGTTTTAGTATTGCTAATAATAATCATAAAACATTTAACATTGAATGACAGAAGATAATAATCAATTGTCACTCAATGACAAACATTTGTGAAGTACCCACGTATATGTATTTTGTATAGTACTATCATACTAAATTATTTATTAAAGTTCAATTTATACAAAATTGATGCTAAAATTATCAAAATCTTTTACTATAAAATACATACTTTTTATTTAAAAAAAATGCAGTCATTATAAAAAAAAACAAGTTTTTAATTTTAGTTATGTGAATTTAAACTTAAGATTATCACTGTTCACTGTATTACAAACAAGGCTATTAACGTCACCCGCTTAACTTCATCATGATTCGTACTTAGAAATAATAGAAACTGAAATGACCGTATGATTTTAATTTCGGGCAAATATTGAGTTCTATTGTAATGTCTACGAACAGAACAATAGCCAAGGCTGATTTAAATACCCAAAGAATATTGCCTAAATTACTAAAATGAATGCTGTTTGTTAAACTTCAATTTCTGTATATGTATCTACAAATTTGTGTTACATCTTTAATTGATGTTCTGATTTGTAGTAGTTAAATGTTTAATACATAATTGTTAACATTAATTTGTGCATTGGCTCATTTTTGCAAATGTATACAGAAACCGTAAGAGAGTAGTTTTTAAAAACGACTGCCAATCTTTGTAATGTGTTTAATGCAACAGTCAGTCAATTCCCATCGTTTGGTAAGTAGGGGGTTCATCAAGTGTGCACTAAATTGTGAATACACACTGTGTTTCAGCGTAGTTTCCACTTAGTAATATTTTGTGTTTTTTTTACAATGTTCTACATATTTAAAATATCACTAAAATGTGATAAAGTGGAGTGATCTTGAAACTTTATCCATATATATGTAATTATGATACAGAAATTTATTTGTTTTATTAAAATATGAGAAAGCTATAAATATTAAAGCTAGTGATTAAACATTAATTAAATTAATAAAAATGAATTGCTGTTCGTTAGTCTCACTAAAACTCGAGAATGGCTGAACGGATTTATCTTATCTTAGTCTTGAAATGTTCATGGAGGTCCAGGGAAGGTTTAAAATATGAACAAAAATTTATTTATTTCTGGGAAATCCTCAAAAAATAGCCCTTTTCTATTTCCCATACAAACGTTTTCTGAATAATAATATTTGACATAAGATTTGACAAGTAACTAATATGTCAATAATTCTGTCGCACTTCAGAAAACGGAGAATTATGACTTAAGGTAATATATATGAATATATATCATAACTTAACGTAATATATATCTTTACGTACATGTTCTGCTACATACATAATAATAATTAAATATCTAGGTGATATAATATAGTGATATAAATATGATAATATAAATCTGATAAAGATTTTTTTTTTTATGTTAAAAGTGGCAAACGAGCAGACGGCCCACTTGATGGTCAGTAGTGACCGTCGCCCATGGACATCCACAACATAGACGTTGCGGATGCGTTGCCAACCTTACTTGTGGGGAAAAAGGGAGGGGTGGGAATAAGGAAATATAAGGAAAGGTTGGGAACAGGGAAAGGGCAACCGGCTCTCTCACTCATCGGACGAAACGCAGTCATTACTGACTACTTCACGCCGATCTTCTGTGAGAGGGTGGTACTTCCCCGGCCGAGCCAGCCCATATTCGAGCTGTAGTAACTAAACTACAGCTAGACTCTACCACCTCTAAAAGATTCGTGAGAGAAGAGACGTGAACGGACCTACAAAGTTTTAATTATGGAAAAATTCCACATAAATAGATTTTCAGGTATAAATATCTGTTTCGTTTACAAAAAGTCCAATTAGTGGAAGTCAGAATAGAGGTTATTTTATTTAAAAAAGTGAAATTAATAATTAAAACTAACACTGAAGGTCTTTGAGACTTAAAACCACTCACGTAGTTAAGAAGGACTTAATGGGTAGAATAAGAATAAGTAAATAAACAAAACAGTTACAGAGTTAATGCATATAAAATTCATACGCTGTATCGGTTATACAGGTAACTATGACGATAAATCAGAAAGAACGAATCCCAGATAGAGGTTACCTTCGTCCCACTAACAGAGGTAATTCAGTGCCAAGGTGTTGGGACTTGAACATGTCTCTCAGTTATTGAGGTATTGGAATTAATGAATGTACAACAGCAATAAAAATTTGTAACCCTTTTCTTTAGTTTTCAATTATGTATTATTTTTTTTTGAATAAGTTCATTCTCCTAGTGGTCTTTTTACTAGTTAATACTGATTCAAAAATAATACAAGTCAATTTTATATTAAGTTTAATTCTGAAATGAAATTTTAAATTGTGCTTAAAACTCAACTCATAAGTCAGTTATTTACATATGAGTAATACTTAAACACATTTGACAACAAAATAATACTGAACAGATTTCCTTTAACGTTATGTAAAGGCTCACCAAGGCCATGAGGCAATTAATTTTATACAAAATAAAGAAACTATCCGTTTGACAGCTGCACTGACACTAAATATACATGACGGATATGTAAATACAAACTTAAAAAAGGTACGTAAAACACACATGAATATATAGGCCTATAAAAAATATTCACTCCAATACATTTAAGCCAACTCTAAAATCACGGATTTTGTTTTAAAAATATGTTTGTATTTAATATAAGACAAAAGATTAAATAGACTAAGAGTATGTAAATTAGGAGATAGGTATATACTATAAAATGCGTATTAGTTATTAAATTTTTAATGCAAAGCATCTGCAGTAAAGAGATACTAAATTTTAATTTATCGTGGAAAGTATGTGGGTCAAAATATGAAAATAAACAAAAAAGAAATTAGTTTTTACTTCTTTTAATTATTATCAACGAGAGAAAAGTAAAATAAAAATCTTCTATCCTCTGACACAACAAAATTTTTGTTACTTATAATATGTACAAGTATGTAAAAAGAAAAAGTTATGACATTAATACTTGAGACACAGAAGATTGACACAAGTGTTACAAAGGACAAGGATCACGGTTATATTTAATGCTGTCATTTGTAAGCTGACGATTTTAAAATTAGAGCACTTGTTAGCTATTCTTTAAATAACCCTAATTCGAAAACCGGTAAAAACATCTATACATTGAGTGTTGTGCACACATAAGAGACGAATCGGGAGTTTCTGTGACTTGCGAACTTCTTAAATGTTGAAAGAATAGTTCAGTGTCAATTTTCCTTAGACACTCATTTGCCTTCTTCTATTTCTTCTTGTTGAAATTGGAAATGTTTTTCTGGATCTTGCTGAATTTCTTGACTGATTCAAACTACTTTTCAGTGACATTTTTGTGCATAACACTAAAGTATTATGAATAAAATACACTGCATATTCTTTCAGGGGAAATAAATGTAACGCTTTTAAGAAGCGATCAAAATGCGTAACGACTAAGAGTACGAATCTTTCTGATTCTTTTCTATATTATATAAAGGAAAATTTTTGTACCCTCAAAGTAAGCGAAAAAATATAAACTATAGGAGTTTGGAGTATCATTGTAATATTAAAAACTCAAAAAAACTAGCAACACATTATTATCAAACGAGAAAAATTATTCACAATGTTAAGAACCTCTCGCCATTTTCTCTATATACGTTTGAAGAACTTAATTTTTTTTTATATTCTCATAATATGCTTTAGAGGATGACGTTTATATCAGTCTAGTGTATATTTAAAACTCGTTATTTTTTAGACAACATTCCAGAAGTGTCTGAAAAGCTGCTTAGAGAGTACAAATCCAACATTTCAACCTAAATTTAAATTATATGCATAAAACTTTCAAAAGCATACTGCATGTATGATTAATCAGAAACGTATTCCCTGGTAGCTGTTCTAATTAGGACCGCTTTATTGTTATTTGTTATTCTATGCAATGTTTGTATACCCTACATCCTAATATGAAAACTATTTCACACTAAATTC